GTCTGGGCCCGCGGGGGGGGGGGGGGGCATTCCCAGAAAAGGTCTCACATGATACAGGCAGAACCAGCCCATGAATTGGAGGTTCTGGATTTAGTGAAGAAGGTAAAACAAACAGCACCAGCATCCATTGCTGCCTGCTTCCCTGCTTCCTGGCTATGGCAACAGCGTCACAGCTGCTTGGTTCTCTGCACCATACCTTCCTGAGACGATTGATTGCAGCCTTGAACGGTGAGCCAAGATAAACCTGGCTTCCTTAAGTTCCCTTTGTCAGATGTTTGCCACAGAAATGAGCCGAGTGACTAATACATCAGCCAAGCCACCTAGGATGACGCAGTCTGATGGGTTTATTAGGAAGATTGGCCTTGACTTAGGTCCTCAAAGTGGTGGCCTTAAGGAGGAGAGGGGCTAGTGGGGACCATGGCAGAGTAAACCGAAAGGCACAAACAGGAAAAGAGAGAGCCCGGGAAGAAGAGACAGGGAGGACACACTGGGCAAAGCCAGGCTTGTCTTGATGATCTCCATATGAACTGACAGTTCCCAGAAGTGGAAAGTCTAAGTGTCCTTTAATACACACTTTAGCCTCTGGAAGTGCTCAGAGCTTCCGTGTAATTTCAAGAGCTGTTTGAGAGCACCTGTCTTAAGCTAAGATATTAAAAAGAGTTAACAAGAGAGCCATTCTGTTTTACATCCTACAAACCCAAAATCAGCTCTGCACGCCCGTCCCCCGAAAGCAATGCGGTGTGCTGCAGTGCTTCACTGTGGTGAAGCTCGTTTACGACTTTGGATCATGGGGATTCGTCATAAAACACTCAGGCAAGAGGCGCCAAGAATGAGGGGAAAGTCATTAAAAGCGCATTCTTGAATGTAAATGGGAAGGTGCTCGATGGTGACTTGTAGATAAAATTGCAAAGCACAGAATATGCGACACTTGTGTAATGTGTTTTTCTGCTTCGCTTCTCCCCCGTGGAATCACAGTATCCCCCCTTTCCCAGGAAGAACGCAAAAACAATGTCGAGGCCGCTGTCTGCTCCAGAGTGCTGCCAGGGTGGTCTTACCTCACAGTTGCTGAGGTCCAGAGAGACCCCCTTCAAGCTATGATTGCAGGCCAGGCCCAAGAGCAGTGCCCTGAGGGAAGGAAACACACATATTAGGTACAGCTTCACAGGAAGAATGACAATATGCACACGTTAGCATTCTCACCCACACAAAGCAATCACACACACACACACACACACACACACACACACAGCAAGCACACTGAATAAAGCCTGGAGAATGAACACATTTTCTAAAACCCGGGTCAGACACCAAGCACCCTCTCACTTTTTGAAAATGCCAACTGCATTCTGTCTCTGACAATCGTAGGCACGTGACACTTCTGCATTCTTCTCTCTGACAGGAGGTGACTCCATCATAAATGCAAGCCTTGAAAATACTGCTATTCCTATGCAAATAAACCCACAGCCCACCTAATTGCATACTGAAATCAAATTGTGTTCATCGTAGATAAAGTCCCACCTGCATCTGCTTGTGAACAGCTTTAATGATCCTTATGGAATATTATTAGGTGATTGCTACAGTGTAGCACAGGGAGGCTGGCTTTCCCTAAGGAATAGACAGCGAGGGCGTCGGGCCCCACAGTTTTCCAGAGGGCGAAGCGAGAGCTAGATGAGTTTGTTAAGTCACTGAACAGAATGTGCAGGTGAGGATACAGACACCCTGGAGATGAGGAGGCCCGAGTCGTGTAGCTGTGCCCCAGATCCTGGCCGTCCAGCCACCGGCTGCACAATGCAGATGCTATCTTGTTCGCAGGTTCAGGGGACTGGATTCATTGCCCAGATATCAAAGCTCAAAAGTGGATTGATTCCACGGCTCCAAGTCAGTTCTGTAAAGTCCAATACAGTTGAGCACACCTGGATCTACATGTGTCAAACAGCTCTTAGATTCTACAGAACAGAGACTCCGTGGTTAAAGGCGCCTGATGCCAGGTCTGATGACCCGAGTTCAATTCCAGTCACTCTGATGATTGACAGACTCAGTTCCTGCAAGTTGTCCTCTGACCTCTACACATATACCACATACTCAGCATGCGCACACACATACACACAAACACACATACATACACTAAATAAATAAATGTAAGAACAAGATTTTTAAAAATTAAAAAAAAATTCCACAAACTGAAAAAAGTCTTCAGTAAGACCTCAGGATAAACTTAGGCAGCAGAAAGGAAAGAGCCAAATGTGAAAATGACCAGGGCACAGGGCAGAGAGCGCATGCACTAACCGTCTCCTACCAGGCATTTCCTACCTGGAGTAACACCTGTTCCTGATGATCCCAGAGAATGGACCTCCACCCATAGAATGCAAGGGTAAAGGATATGTAGGATCAAAAGGGAGGTTCTTAGAGTTTGTCCTTGCAGCAATTCTCAGGCCTTGGGCACACAGTGAGAACTCCTCAGTAGCCAATGGGCAGCTATTCTTCATGTACAAGGGTCAGCAATAATTAAAGACTCAAACACTGTGCACACTAAAATTATCCTGAACATGCCAGTCTCCTAATCTACTCTATGGGCAAAAGGGACTAAGCACGTGATGGGTTCAAAATAAATGTCAGCCGAATGAGTATGCCAACAATATGATTAAAGTGCAAAAGAATATATGTAGGATACGGACCCTGAAGGGTGTGTACATGCACGTGTGTGTGTGTGTGTGTGTGTGTGTGTGTGTGTGTATACGCCAAAGTGAGCAAAGAGGACAGAGTAGTCAGTGCTCTCTTCCCATTCACACACGTGTTAGCATGTGTGGATGTTGTATGAGTATGTCACAACACATATATGGAGGTGAGAGGACAACTTTTGGGGGACAGTTTTCTCCTTCCACCTTCACATGGATCCTGTGAAGCTCAGGTTGTCAGGATTGTGTGGCAAGAGCTTATTCCTGCTGAGCCACCTCACCAGCCAAACGTTGCCTATTCCACATCCATAACTATCTTGCTGCAAACTGATGTCCTTGTATATGTGTGTGTGTGGTGTGTACATGTATATATGTATATATACATATATAGGTATGATATATAGTACATCTGACTACTAGTAGCTATAGGAATAGTTAAGCATTGGTTAAGGTATACACAAAAGAATGTAACCAGAATGGGCTGGACAGAGGTTTAAAAAGACAGTGGTACCTGAGATTCTATCTCAAGCTCTCCTCACTTTTCCACAATAGCTACATATGAATGGGGTTCACTGTGTTCTTTCTACACATGCCCGGGACACAACCTTTATGTGACAGCTTTTACAGAAGGCCAAAACTCACAGAAAGACTAATAAAAGATACAGCAACACCCATTGTGCCCAATACTGTCAGCCTGTGAGTCACTCTCCTGCCTCAGAAGGCTTTCTCGCAGGCGTGCTCTGCCTTCCTTACGGCACATTACTGTAACTGTAAAAGCTCTCGAGACAACAGACGAACCACTCACTTCAAGGGCTCCGGAGACAGTTTCGTGCCTGAAAGATTGATTTGCATCAAAGCCAGAGAACTGCTGAAAAACTGCTTGAAAGATAAGGGGACTTCCTTTCCTTTCCTAGGAAAAAAGACAAAAACAAAACACAACACAAGCATCAAACAAGGGGTTATCTTCTATCTGTCCTGCTTATTGGGTACGCAGACGTGAGATCCACAAAGTCATATCTCCAATAGACCTTTAAAGAAGGAACAAGTGTCTAAATGCTTACTTAAGGGCCTCAAACCCACAAAATAATTTATTCCTTTTCTTGATATCTAATAAACTCATTGTATTTTAGTCCGCTAATCTTCAAGAAACATGTAAAAAAAGAGGTTAGAATTATGTGGTATTCATTAAGGTTCATTCATTTACCTTTATCACTGGACGGTATCCGTGGTGCAGACTGATGCTGCATTGGGCAGTGGGCTTAGTGATAGTTCATTTGCTTGTTTGCCTCTTGACTTTTGACAGTACTGGAGACTCCACCTATGACTCCATGCACTAGAGGCAAGTGCTCTATCACTGAGTCACAGATCCAGCTCTGTTTTTTGAGACAGTCTCATGCAACCCAGGCTGCTCTTAAATCCACTATACAGCTAAAGACAACCCCAAACAAACTCCTCTGCCTCCTGTCTGCACTTCCCAAGTGCTGGGGAATAGGAATACACCACCACAGCTAGATTTGTCTTGAAGTCATCTTACTCTTGCTATGGACCGGATGTCGGTCAAACAGGTGGACTCAATGAGAGGGTGACCTGATTTGGAACTGAGGAACAGCACAACTGAATGGCATCGAGCCTGCATGACCAGTAGCCCATGTCTACCACACTCACACTTTAAACCTAAACATTCCAGGCCAAAATTGTAGAATAAAGACAAAGCAGAAAATGAAGTGGCTGGACGATGCTTCCTCTTGCCATGTCAGTCAAAACTGGATCAAGCCATGCTGCGGAACCAAAGCTGTACTACAATGTCTTGCAAAGGAACTCGCCTCAAGCACCCACAGGGAAGAGTGCAGGCTTAGCTTGCTCCATTCTCTGAGAACTGGGATTGGCTCAGCAGCAAGAAGCACTTAGCTGAAGCCCATGATGCTACTTAAAAAACGATTGCAAGTCATACAGAGGGCAGCAGGCACCTCAGGGGCCTAGGTCTGCCTCATAATATTCACCAGCATTTTGCATGTGCAGAGGTCTTTAAAAAAACCTGTGATACTTGAGCGCTTCTAAATCAATGTCTTAAAATGTGACCATCCCCAGCTATTAGGAAAGGAAAATGTAAGTCATGGGGATCTTGACCTGAGAAGGGAAAAAGTCAACTAGGAATAAGCAGCATTCTGGTCAGATACATGACATTAGATATTTCAGAGAGCTGCTTCCAGACAGTAGAGCCTGCCAGCTTGTATATAGTCCTGCTTATTTATTTATTTATTTTTGTAAGTAAGTGCAGTTTGCATTGCTGTTTTGAAATCCTTCTCTTCCTGCTTCTCTCCTTTGGGGTGGTTCGAACATTCCCTAATATTCATTTCCCTTTATAAGAAAGAGACAGTGACCTCTTACCACTCCAGTGACCGTGGCTTAGCCCTGTGAGCCTCAGCGACCAATGGAATGTGAAAGGATCTGATGTGACTCTCAGTAGGCAGCTTTCTGAGCCAGGACACACACTGCCAGGCTCGTCCTGCCGCCCCCCCCCCCCACTCCGTTCCATCTTCCTCCCAGGCTGAAGGTGACAAGGTCAGCCCACATGGGACCCTCAGAACTACCCAGCCTCTCCTGATGGGCAGAACTATGAAATCATTTGGGAGCAAAACCTGATGAGCCTAGCTAACAATCTATGCCTCAGTACGCACTCACTAATCTGAACAGAGTTACCAAGTGCTTCCAGGAGTCTATCTAAGCGAGGTGCTGAGTATTAATGGCTTAATCACAATCTTTCATCGGGATGACGTGGCGATGTGTTAGCACCGTTCTGCCACACGCAAAGCACAGTGCCACTGAAGACCGTCATGGCAGAAACCACATCAACCGAACTCCAAAGAGCTGATTATACAGAAACCTTTATAAGTGGAGCTGTCATCCTGTAATTCAGTTCCTCAGTCAATTACAGCTCTGTCAAAGTGAGGCTTCGTGACCTGCCTCTAAACATATAAGACAGGACAGCCAGGTTGAACACTCTCTCCCCATGCTGTCTCCCAGACTTTGACATTCTCTAAGTCACTCTGTTGAGGATTTGGAAGCATATTTTTGGTATGTAAAAGGGCCCGTCTCTTCCTCTCTCTTTTTGGTTATGTTTGCTTGTTTGAGACAGAGTCCTATGTAGTCTATGCTTTTCTCAGACTCAATATGTGACTAAGGAACACCTTGAACTCCCAACTCCCCTGCCTCCACCATCTAGGATTACGGGCATGTGTCCCCATATGAGAAGTGTCCATATCACTCTTGAATAATGAACCCAGAGTATTTGGAAATGTATATTGGTAATATTTACAAGGCACAGTATAGAAATAAAACATGCCACCAAACTGAATTTTCCAAACGAATCAAGTTATTCTCTTGAATATAGAAGGCTTTTAAAAGATTAACTAGGAAATATGGAGAAAACACTATTATTAGGCAGGACCCCAGATCACTAAAGCGTATAATGGGCAGAAGATAATCCATGCCACGTGTTCACGGTCCTGCAGGGTGAGGGTTGAATGGGACTAATGCACAGAATGGCCAGGGATGCCGCCCCTGTGAGCTCAAGGGCTTTTCATCACTCACTCAATGCAAAGTGGCCGCTGTTCACAAAGCCTGCTGCATCCGACGTACTGTGTCTGGAGCTGAGATGTCAGTGGAACCAGGGACGCTATAATTAGCCCTCCCCTCCTAAAAATCACAACCAGGAGCTCCAAGGTGACCGTTCTTGTTTGTTCCCAGAAGCCATACATATTTTCTTCTAACCTCATCACTGAGAAGAAGCTATAGATGTTTTTAAAAGGATTGTACTATATTAAGAGAGTACCGAGTATATGAATTCACGCACATATCTACAGTTCATATAAGAAGGCTAACATTATAGACAAGGCCCCTTAAGTTGTGTTTTAAGATGCAACAACAACAACAAAAACCTTTAATTTTCAAGACCCAAAAACTTACAGCTATGATGTAAGACCATCCTCCATGTACAACATTTAGTTCCCAAGCCGGGTATGATGGTCTACCAACCTGTAATCCGGGTTCTTGGGAGGTCAAGACAGGAAGACTGGCGTGAGTTTGAAACAGGCTACAGTGTGAGACTCTGTCTTAAGCAACAACCAATTCTCCTGCCATCAATCACTCTATGCTCACTAACCTCACACCTCATCAGCAGAAGGGGCTCTAAGACAGCAATGGTAGCAAGGAGACAGCCATACCTGTGAGAGAAGACGGATCTGGAGAGATTGAGCACGGCTAGACACTGAAGGCACCCCCGGAGAAGAGCGCTACACACCTGAGGAAGAAAGGGGCAGACGATGTCACTCCCACAGAATCCTAGGCCCATTGAAAACTTTACTAAAGAGACGGGCCTCCACCCCATCAGAGAGGCATCCTGAGAGCCCGAGGAATAGAAAGAGCATTACCAATTCCAGAGAACATTCTGTGTTAGATAAGTCCAGGTGAACGATGGTATTGGGCTGGGCCAAAAAATTGTACAAGTGCTGGAAAGAAGCAAAAGAGCAAATGTTAGGCTCTAGAAAGACATACCGCCACGCAAGGTGACGCTTCAGAACACAGTCACCTGCATGCCCCGACCTTCTTATCTGCTTCTCAGAAGGTTTGCAGACTTGCCGTTATTCTAGCCCCTTCCCTAGGAGAAAAACCCAAAGGGCACGTGAAGAAAAATTAAACAGGCATTAAAAAAAAAAAAAAGGCCAAGAGGAATGTTATTGCCACATGACTTTGTTCTCTTGATTAGTTCAATTTTTACTATATAATTTGAGCACTGCCGAATAACTTTAACTTTTTAGTTTGGAACACCACCTGGATTGCAGTTAGTCCATCAAAATCGAGTCAATCAAAGTACTGAGGAAAATACTATTTGAATTTGGGCTGGAGATGGTCTCAGGCTACGTTCTCTTTTCTCCAATATAGTGATTGTTCCATCCCTAGTGACTTCTAAAAATTTAACAAGACTGTCCTGATGAAACTATTAGGAAAACAGAAGAAAAGAACCCAGAACTAAAGTACTGCTAAAATTTCTTGTTTTGGGGGCACTGCAATGCCTAAAATTTCCTGACACCTTCCCCCTGTACCGCCACAACCTTAAATGGGCATGAAAACAATTAAATAAATCCCTTTGATGTCCTTTAATTTCCCCGGAGTAAACAGGAGCCAGAATTCCCCGATGACACAGTCCAAGTTTCTTGCCCCAGGTGACAACCTTCACTTCTCCCCTGCTTCCCTGAGTGGCACCTGGCACAAACACACACAAGCTTATGCTGACAGACAGAGCCAACACTCATTAAATGAGACAGTCTGACTCTATGGTACCTCAGGAAACTCCTTCCAGCAAGGAGTTTAAGGGAACACAAACCTGCAGATGCTTTGGAGTAACCAGAGGCCCAGAACAGACTACATGGTGGCAGCGTCTGGCTCAGCAGAAACATTTTGCCTTTATTTACGTGAAGTTCCAGGTTCCAGCTACAGAGACCTTCCTTAAGGCCCCTTTATTTTGGTGTGGTTTTGCTTCCCTCTACCAGTTGGGGGAGCTCTTCCTCCCTGAAGTAGTGACGGGGCCCTTAACATGTGGCTTTCCCAGAAAGCAGGCCGAGTCTGCACCTGATGAGGACTCTAGAACCTCGGTGTCCCTGGCTGGGAGCCCAAGTCACTCAGCCCCTTCACTGCACTCCACTGTACCCAGAGGCTATCTGGGACAAGCTGTACCCAGAACCAGGAAACGTGGAGCTGTTTTGTTGTCTGAAATCATTGTTCGTGTCCCTATTATAGATGAGTCTTATTACTTAATATCAGCCTCTTCTTTTTGTTTGTTTTTGTTTTTGATTCATTTATTTTATTTTAAAATATTTATTTTACGACTATGCTCATGAGTGTATGTATGTGCACCGTATCCATGCATAGAGGGACCCATAGAAATAAGAAGATGGCATCAGATCCCCCGGAACTACTATTATAGATGGTTGTTAGCAGCCATGTGGGTGCTGAGATCTGGACCCAGGTCCTCTGCCAGACTAGTAAGCACTCTTAACCACTGAGCCATCTCTCTTACTCTATTTTTTGAGACTATGTTTTACTCTGTAACCCAGTCTGGCCTGGAACTCACTATATAGCAAAGGTTGCCCTCACTCCCAATGCAATCCTCCTGCCTCAGCCTCTTGAACACCAGGAATGTGCTGCCACATCTAACATTCCACCTCGTTCACCCTTCGCGGTGCCACCATGAAGGCTGGGGTCTTTCCCAGGGAACTCTTTGCTTTCTCTTGGGAGGAGGTAGGTTTAAGGATCATCAGTGGACACCAGAAATGACAAAGGGAAAATCAAAAGGCAGCAGAAACAAGCTCTGCTAAAGGATTTCAAGTGTGAAGGGGGAGGGCTCAAATTAAATACATGCGCACACACGCATGCCCGCACACACGCATGCCCGCACACACACACACACACAAACAGAGCTTTCATTTTGCATTCCCTGTTTTATAGGTAAAGTAAAACAAAAGAAATGAGAATAAATTCGGGTGTTTCTCATCTCTGTGGTGTAGGAGTACACAAATGAAGGTCCTTTCCAAACGCTCAAGATCTGCATGCCCTGTTGCCAAAGGCAGACTTCTTTGAACTCTAGCATGGTGACTAGAAGGGACCGTTTACCATGTAATGAACTATAACTAACCCCCCACACAACAGGAAGATCTGTCGAACATTTATATTGCTATGCAAGTACATAAAACATCTTGTTAGAACTGAGGGAAAAATATTTATTATTTATTTACTTACTTACTTATGCCTTCAAAATCAAACTCTAATGAGTAGCTCCTGACTACTTTTATTTATTTATTTTTTTTTTTTGAGACAAGGTTTCTCTGTAACTTTGGAGCCTGTCCTGGAACTAGCTCTTGGACCAGGCTGGCCTCAAACTCACAGAGATCTGCCCAGCTCTGCCTCCCAAGTGCTGGGATTAAAGGCGCGTGCCACCACCGCCTGGCTCTTGACTACTTTAATCTTATTTATGGGCTAGTCTGTGACTAACAAAAGCTGGGCGCTTGGCTCATATTCTCAATCTCAACACCGAAGGGACTAAGTTAGGACAATCACCCTGAGCTAGAAGCCAACATTCTGATACACAATGGGTTCTAGGCTGACAGCTTCTCTCAAAACAAACAAACGTATCCCAACAACGCTATTTGATGAAACTGTTTCCCAAAAGGATGTGACCTCAGCACCATTAAGTAAAAAAGCAACTTAATTATCTCGCCAGGGCTACATTCAATTGAGGCAGGCTTCGGAGTTCTCACAACATTTCACGATTGAGAGCGTGGTGGAGGAACAAGCTGGGGTGACAGGGTTAGAAAGAATGGCTCCCTTGGAGAGGAAAGGAAATCTTACCGAGAGGTCATCTCCACGGAGAGCATTCCCTGAGAGGTCCAGGTGGGTGAGGGTAGAGGCAGTCAGAGGGTTGGCACTGAGGGACTGACAAAGGCTGTTCACCCCTGCAACAAGAGAAACCATCCAAGCTCAGCATCCACTCGAAGAAACAGAACAAGGCTTGTGAGCTTCCACAAACAGCCCTAGAGTCAAATCGAACTGCCCAGACCTGCAGGGCCAGAGCTCTGTTCTTGGAGGGGACCACTGATTTGGAACTCCTGGAGAATCCCTCTTGGGAGCCAGACTTCTCACAGACAACCTGCACTTCAGTCTTCAATTTATACAAGAACAAAAAGTGTTTTACTTTCAAGTCCCAGAGTGATGAAAGCCACCTACCTAGCTGATTTTGAGCACACATTCAATCCTACCAGATGATTCTTGACTTAGTGATAATAGTCAAATGATACACAGGCAAATACTGGTCAATCGTGCGACTTAAGTATTGGGAACTCGACAGAGGAATATATTGCGCTAAGTGCATTTCTGTTCAAGGTAAAATTTGGAATGAAGTGGATTTGTAAACAGTGGGATGAAATGCCCACAGTGTGCAGGAATCACAAAGACTGCTTCCTTTTGTGGTTAGAAACAGGGTTTCCACCAGGTATCCCAGGGCAAACTCAAACAGGAAGCAATCCTCCAGCCTCTGCCTCCAGCGTGTTAGGATCACAGGATCAGACCACCATGCCTGGCTAAAGGAGACAACTTTCATTTAACGCACTATAAAGTTTTATAATCAGAGATGGCTCAAGCTGAACTTAACTAAGCCGAGGGGTGATCGCTCCAATGGGAACCTGTAAAGGGCCCCTGAGCTGCAGGGAGATTGAACACTGAGATGTGGAAAAAGCGGAGACAGATGTATTGAGAAATATTTCAAGCAGGTATAAAGAAGAATTCCCTGCCTATCAACTCAACACTTATTGCTTATAAACGTAGAGTTATACAAAGACACATTTTTTTTTGTCCCGCAAGAATCTAGAGCCCTTCATGATAAATGTTAAATTCCAGAACAGTGCTACATACATACATATACATATATTATATGCATACATATACACACATACATATATATGT